GTGCTTAGACAATTTCTTCATGCCAAGTAGTTACGGTGTGGTCCCCGGCGAGGCTCAGTTAAAAAAGGAGGCAAGGTTACCAAGCTAGTTTTCAACGGTCGTGTGTCAAGGTTCATGTGTACGCGGGCTGTTAGGGTTATAGCGGGTTTCGCCCATAACGAGTTTCGCACATATCGTTTCGCCCAGAACGAGAATGGTTTCGCCCAGAACAATAAAGGTTTCGCCCATAAGTAAAACTTCTACACTCTCACTCGGAAGACGTCAACCTTATAAACGTTTGTATGCACAGAATGAAGAAAAGTGACTTGACCTGAGATCATGAAATTTTGAAACGAACAAGTTACTGTTGAAACGAACAAGTCAATTATAGCTTTCACTGTGGAGCGGGATTGTTAAGGTAATTCGCGCACGAAATACTGCAGAGACGTCCGTTTGTCGTAAAAGCATTACTATGATGTTTTTGCATCACTTTTCTTCTCGAGAATTAAATTAAACGCTTTTGAAAACACTTGCGCGTGGAACATATCATCGTTGCAAATCTTTTGTACACGGAAGATAAGTTCCGCACGCCAGCTTATGAATACATGTGAATACGGTTTCGTGAATACTAAAACAAAGGAATCGAGAGTTAAAGATTGTATTTCTGACATAGGTAACGGCAACACATAATTGGAAAAGAGATAGAAACTAGTCAAGTTGGGCGAATCGAATTTATGCCTGGGCGAAACCATTCTCGTTATGGGCGAAACGCTTCTTGGGCGAAACTCGTTATGGGCGAAACCCGCGGATACCGCTGTTAGAGATCTATAAACTGGAAATTTTTGAAGCAAACTGCGGCTTAGCGTCCGATGCACGGGGGTGATTGAGTTTGTATTGAATTGAAATGAAACTACAGTATATGTACTTGGATTCTGCGTTGGATTTGTGGCCGCCCGGTCATTTTGCGCTGGGATTTTTCGCTTCTCGGATTGAGCGTTCGGAAATGAAATGTTCAGCCTTGGGCTTTTCTTATGTACGTTGAAAACCTCGAAATGAACAACTCGCTAAATTGGGTACTTTTCGTCAAAGAAAGCGGTCAGATAACAAGTGATACGCTGTGAAAGTAAGGTGAGATATTTTTATTGAGAATTACAATTACCATGTAGCAGCCATAGCACTAGGCAAACACACTTGCTCATACTTACCTTTTTTAGCTTTTTATTGCTTATTTCAGTGAATTTGTTCTGGTGATGAAACATTTTTGTTTTTTTACTTTAGCGCTGTTGCTACAGGAATCAACACTGGAGAGGTGATTAAAAAAAATTGTTAGTATCTTCTTCTTTTGTTGGTGGTGTTCTTCTCAAACAGAACTAAAAATTTCCTTTTGTAATAAACATTAAAAACAGAACTCCCAAGAGAGAGATCTGCATCAAATTTCTCATCAATATCACGAGTAAAGGTTATGGGAATCAAGGAACTGATCAGTAAAGAAAAATAGCCTTACAATAAAATAGCCAAATTTTCTCAATGGCTATTGTATGGAAATGTATGGACACCATTGACAAGAATTTATGGAATTTCATGGTTTATTAAAGAGTGACTAGCATCTAATTTCTCCTTACAATATTACCCCTGAATTACACATCAAGGTCATGAGAATCAAAGAAGTGATCAACTACTAAAGACTCTCTCAATTATTAAAATAATTTTCCTTGTCAGCACCTTAAGAAATGTAAAGAGGACAGTATGGAAATTATACATATTAATGTTAGGGTGTAAAGGGTTAAACAAAGGTTAGCCATTGTTCAACAAAACCACATTCTAATTTATCTTGTATTTGGCTGAATCTTTTGTGTGAATATTTATCTTTGTGAATTTTGTCAAAACGGCCAAAAGCTAGCAGTGGAAGGACATTAATTAATGAAAACAATCCTCCTATAGAGAATACATTAGGCCCACTACTTGCATAAAAAACTAGTCTGGGTTAGCCCTTGTGTAATTACCCAGCCCTTAACATGTTTACTATGCGAGTTAAAGGGTTAATATTCATCTTTTTCTAATGAGAAATTTTGTTGACCAGGAATAATTGTTTATTTGTGATTTTCAGGTGTGGGTGAGAAAAGGAGATGGATCAAAAACAAAGTTGTACATAGGACAACTACAGAAAGGAAAATACAGGATAAAAAAGTCATGAAAAGTAATTGATTTAGTGCTACATTTTGATTTAAATTGTATAGAATCTGTTAGATTTCAGTCTATTTTAAGAAAGATTGTATAAGGATGCAATGACATTTGTTATATGTGTAATATAGTTGGTACATATCATATGACACTTTGACATCATGACATATTGCTGTGACAATAGAGATGTCTTGAGGATGCCATTTTTTCAAATCTTTCAAACTGTTGTGAGAAATTTATCATGTTAACTTGCTCATGCACAACTGGAAGCAATAAAAAGCTGACCAATGTATCCTGACCCTTGGGACAAGAGAGCAGAAACCTCAGGCCCAACAAGAGCCACAAAGAATGATAAGAGGAAACTGATGTATAAGAATTAAGATAAACAGGATAAAAGATATCAAGGTCAAAAAGGGTTGGCCAGAAAGGAAAGTCTTCTAGTAATGAGCAACAAGTAAATCACATCGGAAACTGTTGGCCACATAATGTAAATAAGCCACCATACACAAACATTCAGACTCTCAGTTGTGTGTGAGAAACAAGTTTTCTATGTTGGTTGTCTCTTGGCCATTAAAATTTGGTTTACAGATTTACTATCATCAGTATGCAGTAGTTCTTTTTAGCTCATTCATGCTGAAAGCAATGAATGAGGTATCGTGGTGGAGCAGATGTTGGCGGAAGTTGTTGACCGTGGACGGAAGTTGCATTGTGAACCATGAACAGAAGTAGTCTCTCATGATACCCCTCCCCTCTTAGTGAAAGTCAAAATTAATTTTGATGAAGCTCAGAAACTCACATAGAAAGAAATAAATGTTTATATGGCTTATTAAAAATAATAACCTCAAATCACTTTTTGGAACTTCTGGTATAAAGTAATCATAGCTCTATCATAGTACTTTTCCTCATGAGCTCTTCAACATACAGTCCAGATATCAATCATAGTGGCCAAGATAGTCTCACTAGAATTTTTTTCGAGCTCCAATATTTCGGTCCGGACTTGAGGCTTGCTCGAAAAAAAACAAACCCTGATGAGAAAAAGAAAACAGCCTCTTATGCTGTGCATGTATGTGTTAACTCCTTGACTCCCAACAGTGATTAAGATGAAACTTCTCCCTTAAATATTTATGCATTATCTCACAATCAGGTAAGGAGTATACTCAGACTTCTCAACTACTTCTCATCTTGATCTAAAACCAATTTCTCAAAACTACAGTAGTTTACAAGGAAATGTGTGGCAGTTAGAGGGGAAAATTAACAATAATGTCTAAGAATTTGAAGGGTTGAGGATAGACAGAACTCCTTCATGGAAAGTTTCTTTCTGTTTTTTTCAGTATTACACCCAGCATTTTGACATCCTTTCATGTAGTGTTGCATTGTAATTGAATACTATATAATCTTGTTTTCTGTTTGCCATGCAAGCTGAAGGTTATGTCTTCTGAAGAAAATTGTGACTGGAAAATGCCCTACTAAATAAAAGTGTATGTTTTTGAGTAAATCTCTTCTCTTGTAATGGAACTTGGAACTTAGTTTGATTCTTTGAACTTGGAACTTGATTCTCTTGGAACTTTAACTGGTCCAAAGAAATTTTATTCAAAAGAAAATGTTTCTTTTCTTGTTCATAAACAATTAAGAAATTTCATGAAAGGTTTCATGACGCTTACGCTAGCACACTCCAGAGCAGGCTGTCAGCTCATGGGAAGAAGTAATGTGTAAGATGTGAGGGTGAAAACAAGTCAGATACAGTTGTGGTGGCAGGACATGTAACCCTTAACCCTTTAACTCCTGTCAGTGACCAAGACAGAATTTCTCATAACAATATAAAAACAATATCCACCAAATAAGTGATGAGAATAAAGTAAACTATCAATTGGGGAATAATAAGTTGATCCAATATTAAATTATCTGAACTAAGATTATAATAATTGTGTGGTTGACAGTGAGGAGGACTACAAATTTAATCTGGGAGTTTCTAGGAGTTAAAGGGTTAAGCTATCCAGCTTTTATAGCAACTCCAACAGCAAGGTGGCAAGACATGATTTCTCAGTCAGAGGTCAGCTACCACAAGAAGATTTGAACAATGGAAGAAATAAAGTGAATGCTACAATCATTTTAGAGAAAATTATGCCGGTTATCTTGTGGATCAATGTCAACAAATATTACACAGGTTAGAGACAACATCAGTTGACCAGTTAATTTATGATTTTTAATACCAAAATGACACAATATAGAATTGGCATGGAGGGAACAGTGGGAAAAACAAAGTGCTTTGAGTAATTCCTTTCAAACAGGATGTAGCATCAACTTTGAGCCAGAACCTTATGAAGTGCTGCATTCAATCTTGCTCTTTATCATTTTCCATAAAGAACAAATTTTCTTACCATGTTCTATACATTCTTGGTGTTTATTTTTTAACATCCCAACTGTCTCAAAGTTTGCATACCCCAACTCATTCACAACAAGTTACTCATGACCAAGTCACTCCTTAAATGAACAACTCCTCTGGTAAAAAGTGGGCAGGTTAACCTGTAGACCTCAGAGTGTCTGACATCTAATTTCTCCTTACATTATCACCCTTGAATTGAACATACAGGTTATGAGAATAAAGGAAATGATCACCAATTTAAAAAGCTCCTTATTCTCAAAAACAATTCTTGTCAGTATCATCAGGAATGTGAGGAGAACAGGATGGAAAACATGAATGCTCAGGGTGGAGAAGGAAAGGGTTAAGTGTCACCAAACCATTGGCTTGTTTTATTCTTTTGCATAAAAGCATTCAAGTACATTCACACAAATATACCACAGCAGTGTTAAAATTTATTCAGCATAAAAAGGCAATAAAAAGCATATCTACAACATCCTCATTATAACTGAGTTGATTATGGGTCTACTGTGGCCAATTTACATTATCAACTTCGTTGACTGAAACTGATCATTTTGTGGTACCTGGCACTGACACTTAAAACTAACCCCTTAACACACCCTATGGCACCTACTTTTCATCTAAAAGAATGACATAAAAGTATGGGGAATCTTTTTGCATTTAATTATTACTTCTTGGATTGCTAAATTTAATGTTTTCTTTTAAAAACAAATTAGCCTTGCTTGGGTTTCTTGGGACAACATCCTCATTATAACTGAATTGATGATGGGTCTACTGTGACATTATCATCTTTGTTGCCTAGTTTTCAACTCAAAGAATTACATAAAAGTATGGGAAATCTTTTTTCATTTAATTATTGCTTATAAGATAACTAAATTTAATGTTTAAAACAAACAAACAAACAAACAATTAGCCTTGTTTGGGTTTCTTTGGACTTTAGCCTTGCTGCCCTGCCAGTAACAGAAATGAATAAGAAATAATGTGTTAGTCATCAGCTTGAGTATAAGTAATTTCAAAGATTCCACTCTTTCCTGAAATAAAACACATTACATAGTCAGGAGATTTCCTTGATTTGTTATGACTCCAACTGATAGATAGAGAGATAAACTTTATTTATACAGGGTAACCCATTCAGCTCTAGGAATGGTATCCAGAGGGGCCTTGATATTGAAAACTAACCATACTGTTGTAGAAATTACTAGTTAAAAATAAACTACAAATATATTCCTAACATTATATGAAGTAAAATTAAAGATTGAGAAACTTAAAATGCTGCCTTATAGGTGCAAAATTCAAAAAGGGAAGTTATAAAAACAAGTAATTTTTAATTCAATGTTTGAAAATCTACAAGGACTCAGCTTGCTCCACCTACTGTTAAAGAGCACATTTTCTGCCAGATGTTTCTGAAGTCTGGGAATAAGTAGACATTGCATTCTGACACTGCATAGACTGCCAAAACAACACAAGTTCACATTTTCATGACTGCCATTTGAGACAAACTCTCTTAAATCCTCTCCCCTTGTCCATAGTTTATTTTACATATTTCCCATAACTTTTTCAGCAGTGTCAAGTTACCTCTAATCTTGTTACTCTCTTCCCTTACAAAACTTTGTAACAGCAAATTCTGACAACAGCCACAGGACACTCGTCAGCTGAAAGTTTCCTTGATAAACAAAACTGTTTATTTTTTGACATTCATGAAGAGTGATCATGTACCCTGCAAGGTCACTCGTCTTCTCATAGGTTATTGCCTCTCCATCTATATTAATTTCTCTTACAAATAGGACCTCCTCTCCAGGAAACAAATGAGGACCTGCCAAACAAAAAGGACACAGATCTCAATAGGAAAACTCATTTTCAAGTGATATTACGACAAAAAGAACCATTTCATTGATAACAGATACAATTATCTTACTCACCTTTGATATCCTTTCCCAAAGCATGAAGACTTACGAGTGTGATAATTTTCATGTAATCCTCTGGGGACTTCACAAAATCTTCCAGGAAACCAACTTTCCCTGTTACATTGCACTCAATGTTTGAACTCTTGAAGTGAATGCTCTTACTGGAGCTGGCATCCCTGAAGTCACTCACTTCCAGTGTTACTTCATGTGGAATTTTGTCCACTATTGAAGAGAACAAAGTGCATTCAAGTCTACAAACTCTAAAATATGCAGAAACTGTGATCGATTAGCTATTCGCCTTAGCCTGCATGGGCTCAGAAAAAGTCAAGTCCAATAACCAAATTTCTATTAATTTAAATCTGAAGATTGGGCAGATTAGCAAAGGAAACTTTCACAATCCCTAGCAAAAAATGTAATGCAAAACTCACTTCACTACAGTGATTTCAAATATTAATTCTGTTCCACTCAAGTCTAACTGTAGGTTGACCAAAAAATTAAGTAATAACCAATTCACACCACAGCTAAAGTGTATTTCAAAGCTGTTTTGTTAAAAACAGTTTAAAATTAGATAATTTGGTTTCATCAATTTAAACATCAATGAATCTTCCTCAGAGTGAATGAAGTGCTGCTCAAGCTAGTAGGGACTTTTTACAGTTAGGATAGCAACACTAAGGAAGACATAAATTTCAAAATAAATATATATTTTTAGTCGGATTTCAAGATTGACTGGATGTGTTCATCATCTCTTATGGCACTGCAAGTTAAAAATCAGCATAATGTATGAGAGCAGTGTTGAGTTCCTAGTGGAAACTTAAATAATTTGCCGTTGGGGTTTCCTTTCTTGGACCACACAAATTTTGATGAGGACAGCTTAGAAATGTACACAGTTTTAAAATGCACATGCCAAGCTACTGTTCTGCTCATTGGATCTTCTGCCTTGTCCTTGTTGCCTTCGCTGTTGTGATTTGCTCAAGGTCCCTAATGTCTGTCAACTTCCAATTCGACACAGTGAAAATACAAGTCAATGACTTGGTACTTCAATGAACCACTAGGAAATTCAGTTGTTTACTTCTCTGTTTGTGATTTTCATTCAGTGAAACACTTTTTTTTGTCTCTGAAAAAATCCTCTTGTCTGTTGGGCAAGTGAGAGTCAGAATCTGCCAGCCTGATCTCACAATCCACTAGCCCCTGGCTTACTATACACAACCAATTGGGTTTGTAATATAAACAACGTTAGCTGAATATGAAACCCAGTACATTCAAATAAAAACAGGTCATAATTATCTGAAAAACAATTACCAGATTCATTTTCAACTTCCATTTCTTCTTCCCTGTCAATGCCATATCTAGCTGTAAAGGCAAGTTTGATATCCTGTTGGTGGAATACAGATAAAAATGTCATTACCTGTAATAGGCCTTCTTCAATCCATACAAAAACTGGTTAAAAAATCAGCAAAAAAACCTCATATTCTGTGACTCACTTTGTCACAAAATGCTTGAACTCTATATAACATCATCATGAATTGTGCAAGTTTTTAAGTCATGGATGATAGCCAAAATACAATTTTGCACCATGATAAAAATGTTTGACAATTCTACTTTCTCTTTGTGACAATTGGAAGGCAATTAATGCATTCACGTCTCAACAAAAAGTTGTATAACTCTGTTGGGTGATATTTTTGCAGGTGAAGGAATAATGAGGAACTGTTTACTCTTTCAAATTCCCAGACCCATAACACAGTGATGTTCTCCATTTTTGAAATTTATTCCAACATCTATCTAAGAAACTCACCTTACATTGGTACTGCAAGCTGATACTTGATTCTGAAAAAGAACAGTTCACACGTAAAAATCAAATCAACTAGGAACCTGATATTCTGTTTCACTATCCGGAATGACTAAAAAATTTTGGAGAAGGAAGAAAAATATTTATATGTATTGATTTAGGAATATATTTTATTCTAACAAAAAACTCAGGTATATTCTGTGTTCTAACAAAAAAAAAAAAAACAATTAAAAAAACATTTGACAGTCAATACATATAGTAGCACAAGTTATACAATTTAAGCTGCATATTTAACTTTAACCAAACATAAGAAGTAGGATCTAAAGCCTGTTCAGGGTCATTTGGCACTTCGTGATCAACATCAGATAGTTTGGGAGGGCTAAGTTCATTTGATTTGTCAAATTTATCTTATGTGTAGGGCTGCCGCTCATTTAGCCATTGCATGACTTACTCAAAGACTGTTTTGAGAGAGTACTGGGCTTTTCAACCATTAACACCCAGTGATACATAAAATTACAGTCAGACCACTCTAAAAACTGGACTGGTAGAATGGTGGAATAGCATGAAATTACCCCATATCCCAAAAGATGGAATGGCAGATAATTAACCCCAAATCTTAAAGCCCTTTGCTTGGTTTTGAACTGCTGTGGGATGCTGCAGGAAGTTGCTCAATAGACCAGTTTCAAATTGTTTTTGCAAGATAGTCTGATAACTAATTATCAGCACCAAGTGGAGGTAGAGGGGAATATGCTCTTATTTTGAAAGCAAGATTAGAGTGACTGTAAGTTGAAAATGAAGTTTTGTGCCATCTCATGCCATCTTCCAACTCAAGCCTGTCTAATGCTGTTATCAATTATATTTTGCCCTTCAGAAAATAAGCAAAAACCCCCAGACTTCTATACGACAGTAAAAAGTCTTCATAATAGCCATCTTTTCTGACCAGATAATAGTAAATATCAGGAAACCTGAAGTCTGGAATACTCTTGAATTGTGAATATCCCTTTCCTTTAAAGATTTATGTAGCCCGGAACCCGTGAAAGCCATGTTGAGACGACTCTGCCTCGACTTGGTGCTGGAAACTAGTTACCAGACTTTCTCGCACAAACAATTTGAAACCTTGCCTTCACAAATTATTTTAGTAGAAAGCATGGGTGGTGTGATAACTGTCTCAACTGCACCAGATCTCATTTGTATAAGATAACGACATAATTTCTTTCAGTCGGCAATATACATACTGTAAGATTTTAAGCCGTTAACTTAAACGGCGTAAAATTTCTTGATATGTGTGTATACTGACTAGGTTTTTAGCTTAAAACCCCACAGTCTACAGACTTTGTTGGTCACATATACGCTGTAAACTTATTACCAATAAAAATAAGTAGCGCCAAGTTCCAGGAGGAATATAGCCTGCAGAGCTGGCGTAATTTTAGTGAGCGTGTGCTCATTATTTTCTTAACGAAAATTATGACCGCCATCTTTGATACGCTATGGCAGAGGAAGACCATACAATCACGAGCTTATATCGTAAGCTCCTTCTACAAAGACGCCAGCATTGCAGGCTAGTAGCTGATTTCACGTTTTTGTTTCGCAGAGGACCGCGAAGAAATGTTGCAAGTTTCAAAAGACATGTGCTAAACTATTGCTCCTTCCCCTTCGATGTTTTAGGGTTTACGTTGTCGTTTGCCCAGCCGTGGTAATGGGCTAAATGCCCGACAATCAGAAATTTCCAAAGAATTCACATACCTTTCTTTATCGCGGATGAACCCATTTTGCACTTGCGTGATGTTTACAAGGCATCGAATGGTGGAAAAACATCCCATCGTTCGCTTTCATGGTTGGACAGCTGACGAAAAAGTTACTTAACATTTGATATCGTCTTGAGCAACGCAACTTCACAGTATATATATAGTCCTGCGGAGGTCATGCGGCTGTTTGCACTCTCCTTTGATTGGCTGTTGTGTGGCTATTGTGATTGCTTTCACCAATTATCACGCAGCACGTCAGAGAGGACACAGCGCCTTGGCAGACTTTCGAGTGACGAGTAGGGGATGAAGAAAAGACCGAAGTACGAGTGGTCAGCGGGGAAACAAATTTAATAAATCATATAGAGACATATCAGTTATAGTTGCGGAAAACAATAGTGTTGTAAAGCCGAAATATCAACAGTATACTTCGCTAAATAAAATGTTAAGCAATTTTTCAAAAGTGTTGATGGCACATATATCTTTTACTGCTGTAATAAACAATAGAGGCATCGGAAAAATCTGAAGGGTAAGTAGAATTATTTTAGACATTGTTCAACTAAAGCTGATTTAAATTTATCCAGACAGCTCGTTGCGTGTTCCCGTTCCTTTCAGCAATTTTATTTACAAAACGGATTTCATCAACGGTATTTTTTCAGTACATGTTTTAAACTTGAAAACCTTTTTGATGTAAACTCTTGTGGTAGTAAAAGCTGTTTTACAATCGAAGTTAGTCTTGAATCTGTTGGTCCGTTTCGGTAGTTAGATAACGGCGTAATATGTGACTAACACAGTCTATATACTGTAAGATTTTACGCCACTAACCCAGTCGGTGATTTAATTATAATAAATTAAATATAATTAAATTATATTACTGGCGTAAAATGTTACATATATATATATCACCGACTGGAAGAAATTACGCCGTTAGTTACTGGCGTAAAATCTTCCAATTTCTTCCAGTCGGTTGTGTTTATATGTACGATTTTACGCCAGTAACTAACGGCGTAATTTCTTCCAGTCGGTAGTTTTATATGTAAGATTTTACGCCAGTAACTAACGGCGTAATTTCTTCCAGTTGGTAGTTTTATATAGAAGATTTTACGCCAGTAACTGACGGCGTAATTTCTTCCAGTCGGTAGTTTTATATGGAAGATTTTACGCCAGTAACTAACGGCGTAATTTCTTCCAGTCGGTGATATATATATATATGTAACATTTTACGCCAGTAGTATAAATTAATTATATTTTAATTTATTATAATTTAATCACCGACTGGGTTAGTGGCGTAAAATCTTACAGTATATAGACTGTGTTAGTCGCATATTACGCCGTTATATATATTCCCGGTCCGTTTTGCTTAGGTGAACGTTCTTTTGATCGACACAAGCTCAATGTAACAGTGTACCAAGCAATACCGCCCTATTGCTTCCCCCAACACAACGTAAGTGTAATAGATGCAATAACATTTATACTTGACACACATCTAAACCTTTTGGTAAAATTTCCGCACAGCCCCATACTATTGTAAAACAAATCTGTTTTCCCAACGGCAATGTATTGTTTTTGTCATTGTTTTCTCTATCCAAGAACTGAATGCATAATGTAGGATGGGGCTGTGCGGAAATTTTACCAACCTTTTTTGCGTCTGGAAATATGTCGATATAACTTTTTGATCAACTGCCGTTGTTTGACGTTTACATGCATCTCTTACCACACAGTGTTACCTGAAGTTGATGGAAGTAACCATACACAAATTCACCGTCGCAGATAGCTTTGACTTCAGCCAGTTTAATAGTTCTTCAATGTCACTGCGTTGAGACTGTGAAAGAAAGGCGCCTTATAGTGACTGGAGATGGCTATCCATTAAGATGATGTTGTCATTTGCATCACTTACCCATGAAATCGTTAAACCATTCACCCTTTAACTCCCAAGATCTCATTGTTAATTCTCCTTACAGTCTGCCATATAGTTTTTGTGATGTTAGTTTGGAGAATTTGGTATTAGGTCAACCAATAATCTCCTAATTAAGATTTTTCTTTATTCTCATCATTTGTCTGCTTGATATTGTAAGGAGAAATTCTTTCTTGGTCACTTATGGGAGTTAAAGGGTTTATTATCATAAAAGCAGCATTTGTGTTGGTAAGTCTTTTACTAGGTGGAAACTCAGAGCAGATTCCTCACTTGAATTAGTCTCCTTGACAAAAAAAAACAGTTAACTCCTCTTCATAACTTAAACTACCCAGGCTGCTTCTGGCAAGAGGTATGGCTTCAACAACACCAAGATATGATAGTGACTGCATGAAACTGTCATATACTTGACTTCCCCCCATCATACATGACATCCAGCTTGGAATCAGTGGTTGGTGGTTTTTCAGTTGAAGGAAGGATTTGTTTGTTAAGTATGTCTTTGCTAACAACGAAGAAATAACTGTACGAGCATTGCTGCCTTGATGACCCCCAATTGTTCACTGAGATAGGAAGGCTGGCAGTTCCCAGAGTGTGACTGATTGTGTAGTTGAAGATGGAACATGTATTGAAGTGGATTGTGGTGGTACACTTAAGTTAGAGAACTGTTGCTGAGCTACTGATGGTGTTTGTTGTTGAGATTGATTGTGTGATTGTCAAAGGTAAGGGCAGGTAAGGTGAGAACCTTGAGATCTTTGGTGGCAAGGTTACCCACAGTTTAAAAGTGGTTTTGGTGTGAATTTGCAACTGAAGCAGGCCTCTCTGTGCCATGTCCTCTTTCTTAAGTTGTCCTGTGTGGAACACTTATAATAAGCTGTTCCAGATTTCTAGTTATCATATTTTCCCCATCATGGGATTTGTAAAAGTCTGAATACCTAGAGGCATGTGTTGCTAGCTTGCTTTCGGGCTGTTCATGACTATTGTGGCTGTCTGTAATGTTGCTTCTTGCATCATGCTCTATAATACCTTTATTGAAGGAATCACCTAACTCATTTACTCTAGTTTGAAAAGGATCATTGCTCCATCAACTGGATGGGCAACTGCTATGGCTGGGAGACTTGATGCCTTATGAATTGCTGTATTAGCTTTATCAGTAGGTTAAGTATGCACATTCATAACATGAAAATCATCAGTGAGATGGATAACAAGTTTTTTGGTCTTAAAAAAAATTAATATCCATTTCATTGATCGCTTATGTTTGTACAAAAGTGGTTATGTTTATTGTTTTTTGTATTTGTTCTGCTTTATCCTGCAGGCTGTCAGCACAGTTTTGTCCACAACTTCCTCACGGTTGTTTTGCCCGCTGCTGGTTCAACTTGTCATTCATACATATTCCATTGCCAAAGCCCAAGACTCTCCCTGCAGTCTGTGCAGACCTGGTAAACTCGTGAATATCAAGGAACACTTCAACCTAGTTTTTGGAGATGTGACGTTTTCTGGGATCTGAGGGAAATTGAATATTATTCCTTTCATCATACTCAAGAACAAAGGTTGTTTTGTACCAGTGACTGCTGACACTGTCAGAATAAAGCTGCCATGGAAATTTGTAAATTATATAAAATATAATAATTTTTTATTCTTCCTATGGCAAAACTTTAGGCAGGTACATTGTAATTTGAAGTTAATACCTAAAGTAAGGCAATATGTGAAGTAGTACAACCATTCTTTACTGCTGTAAATGTGAATGCCTCTCACTGGTGGCATGTCTATCTACACTCACTATTGCACTGATGAGGATGTAAAAGAGATGTGGTGCATGAGTCTCACAAAGTGCCTGCATATCATCAGATCTGTATAGAGATAGACCTCCACTCTCATAGTGCCTGTACAAGGCTGACCAAAATTTTTCCAGCAGCTCTGCAAGATTATATAGAAAATGCAATAATGATGTATTTGACCACTCTGTGAGTTATATAGAAATATCTTCAACAATTAACATGTGTTTACTTGTAAAATATGAGCAGAGTGGAGGACCTTTATCTGTATTATATTATTACTTGTTGATGTTGTTGTGGAGATGTTTAACCCTGCAGGTGCAATCATAGCATAACTCTGATTATTAGCAATATGGTGGATTGGTTACCTTTCTTAGATTTCTTAAAACTCACACCTGTGCCCTGAATATTTTTTTGTCAGGAAAGATATGCTGCAGAGCAGGTTCGAAAGAAACTTTCTTGAAAATGGGAACCTTATCTATAAAGGATAGGGCTTATCCACGCGAAATAAAAACAAACAATATGAATGTTAAAAATGCCGCCATACCGCCGCTACAGTGTTGCTATGGGAATGTTGTCATTCCCATTCCTTTTCGCGTGTAAATTTTCGCACGCGTTTTCAGCATGCGTACTCATTTTGCCGCTGTGTCGCCAAAAACCGCTTGTGTGCCCCTGTCTCGCTTTCCCTCAAGAGAGTTGCCAGGCTAGAGAAACTGGGAAATACGTTGGAAAACAACAATGGATCGAGTATTTGAAACAACCTCTCTTGAGACAACCTTTCTTGTCATTTTTCCCTCTGAAACTTAGATGGAAGCGTCAAAGTCTTCAAACTGTTGTGTGTTGTTTGGAAGGAAGTGATCTTCATAAAGCAAAAGATTATACAAACGACTTCGAACCTTGTCTTTAAATAATAATAATTATAGTACTAATAATAAGATTGACTTTAATCAGGATTTCCACAAGATGGCTCTTCACCTGCAAATTACATCTGCTTAAAAATATCTGCTAAAATCAGTTCAAATAAGTTATTTCTACCAAAAAGGAATTACATCTGCTAAGAAATAAAGTTAAAAATATAGGAGAGGTAAAATAAGTATACCTATTTAGCAATGTAAAGTAAAAACTACATCAAACTGAAAGGTTACCTTTGACCTTTTTCATCAAATGCTTAAAAGTCATTTTAGAGAACTGATTAAAGTCAGTACAGTTCCTTACACATTCAGATAAAATATTAAAGCTCTTGGCAACATGATCTTGAAAAATGTGTGATACCACTAATAGGTGATTAAGACAGAATTTCTTCTTGCAATATCAATACTATATCACACACACAAGTGATGGGAATAAAGGAAATACTAATTAGGGGATTATAAGTTGATCCAATACCAAATTCTCCAAACTAACATCACAGGAACTGTATGGCAAACCGTAAGGAGAGTTAGTAATGAGATCTTGGGAGTAAAAGGGTTAATAATAATTATAATCCTTATGTCTTTTTGAAGGTTCCACAAAGGTGATCATGCACTGATAAAAAGCAGAAATGGTACACATTCCAGGTATGTCTGGAGCTTATGTTCCTAATGTTAATGTTATTGTGGCCTTAACTTGTTTAACTTGATCTTTTCGACAGAATTTTGGTCCAACTATTTCACTTTCAGATGCCCTTCCTGAACTATAAGGTCATAAAATTGTAACATAACCTTAAAATTTGTATTACAGATTTACTACAAACACCATTGTTTGCTCTTTTCCTCATAAAATGTTAAGGAGAAGTCAATCTGATAAAAGATATGAGGGAGAAATGGCTCTTACAGGTGCTTGTTGTTGTTCAGAATATATACAGAACACCATAATGGAGTTTCTATCTGTTTTAACCTTTTCCCCTGCAATGGGAATTCAAGTTCTCCTTTAAAATTTTAGCCTTTGACATCCTTTCAAAATTTTTATTAGCTCTCTAAGGATGAAGAAAATTTCCTGGAGCCACAATTTACTTAGACACAAAATTTGTAATATATATATTATTACACATGGTATCTTGACATCCTTTCATGTAGTGTTGCACAGTTATCAAAGAATATATGATCTGGTTGCCTTGCAAATAGTAAGTTGTGTCTGCTGGAGAAAATTGTGATTCATTGGAAATGTTGCTCTTAGTTGATAAAAAATGTAGGTCCTTTTAAACATTTTGGAGTAAGTTTCATGACTTATAAAGCTTTGAATGAGATGTTTCAACACTTTACATGCATAACTAATCAAGAAATTTTCCTAGGTTCTCAGTTTACAGGAAGAAGTGATGTGTAAGATGTGTGGGTAACAAAGTATGATGTAGGGATGCTAATGGCATGGGTAAACCACATGGGCCGGTCAGCTTTTAAATTGACTCAAATGGTGTGAAGGTCACATTCAATTTCCAAAACTTAGAGAACTGTCACAACAAAAAATTCTAAAACAATTTATTTGCAATGATGGATTTTCTTGGAACAATGGGACAAATAAAATATGACATATATATTGAAATGTAACAATTCATCAACACATCAGCACATGGGTGTCTTACCAAGCAAATTAAATAAATATTACACAGGATAGAGAAAAATTTAAGTTGATTGATCATGAAAAATTTTGATGAAATGGAATTGACAGGAGATAGAAAAAAAGAAAACAAGGAAATGAGATCTTGAAAGTGTCTGTAATGTCACATTGCCATTAAAATAGTGTTCACAATACAAACACTTGTGTTGCTGGTTGATAATGTCAATCTTGTGGGTGCTTAAGAAATGTGATTAACACAGCAGTCATATTTGCAGGTCTAAAAAAATTTTGGCTGATACTGTAAATATACATTTCAGACAATTTGAAGCAATTTGGTTGGACAAAAAAAATCTATGGTACAAACTTGTCTCTGAGTTTTCTAACAAGCTGTCAATATACCCAATGACAGCAGACATGGAAGCAGCTACATGCAAGAAAGGTTCTCTCTATTTTGCTTAGCTTTTGACTCTTTTTTGCACCCACTTTTAATGAAATTCTTCAATTTGCAAATTTCTAAACCCTCCAGCCCTAGAATCAATTTGGTGGCCTTGAGCCTACCCAATCCTTTGCAATGTTCAATTCAACAGTTTGAAATATTAATTTGTTGATGAGATGAAATACATGTGGTTCCAAAAGAAATGAAAGAATGTTGCCATTTGTAACAGGAAGAGATCATACAAATTAATTTAAAATAAAACCCACAACGTCTCATTAATGTGCCCTTTGATTCTTTCACAATAAAAATTGTTGAATTCATAGATTTGTTTAGATCTCTGTGTGTATGTACCTTTAACTACCATAATTTATTTCTAACAATTTTGTTCCACGATTGTTCACACCAGACCAGTCTTTCTCAGGAAATGGACAATAGCATTTCCAAGACAAATCACAGATATCATGGTTCCTTGTCACTTGTATCACTTGAGTCTGATTCAACATAATATGTTGTTCTCTGATGGTTGGGATTAACAAATAGATCATCATCATCATCATCATCATCATCATCTTCTTCATCATCATCCTCATCATCCTCACTAATGCCATTAATATTCTGTTCACAGACATTGCTAAAAACATAACATGAGAAAATTGTTATGCATGATCTGCAATAAATATGGTTACTAATCAAAGTAGAATGTGATAGCTTATGGCTAGCTTGACATGACAATCTTGTCTCATCTGAAATGTTATTGAGAGATCCTTCATGATTGTATGTGAGCTGCAGGTTTATTTTCACAACATAACAACATAACAAGTTTAATTTAAGGTAAAGAGGAGTGTTATGTTTATGTAAAGTCTACCACACAGGTTTACTGCTTTTTGTATTCACTAATTGACTGGTTTGGAAGTGATTAGCAAGCACTATTCACCTCTGAACAGCAGAAGAGACAACACTGCATTTCAAGAGTTAAATTCCCAACAAGATTTTGGTACGTTCACAGAAATAAACTAATTTTTTTGTTTCCCGGTGGTATATACTAATTTCAAACAATAATTCAAATCTGTGTCAGTAAAAGGGAGCCCTTATTCTCTCCTGGTTATTGACAATTGATCACAGGAAAACTGGTCAGTTTAGATTTGTAACATCCATTGAAAAAGCAAGTCTTGACTCAAAGTTCTCATAACATTATTCACTACCATCCACAACTTAACCCTGCCCAAGACAGAATTTCTCCTTACTCTATTTGTACTATATCATGAAGACAAGTGATGAGAATGAAGAAAAATATCAATTATGGGATTATTAATTAATCCAATAACAAATTCTCCAGACTAACATGATGAGAATCGTTTGGCAGAGAGTAAAGAGAATTAATAATGAGATCTTGGGAGTTAAAAGGTTAAAAGTCCTCTCCAGAACTACCTTCACTTCTATAATTACTATGATAATTATGTCTTGTAAGTGTTGACTATTTACTGTATTGTGAATCCTGTTAAAACTGAGGGGAAATTGTTAAAAGACAAATAACTTCATGCTTTTGTAATTTTACTACAAACAGTCAGAAACCAAACCCAACAAAAACATTCTACCTTGAGAATATATATTATTCTTTATAAAAACACTTTGGACTAAAGGTACAGACCCATAAATTATTAAAGGTATTAAAAAATTTATACCTTTTTACTTGTTTGTCATCTGATTTTTCATCAGTTGAAGCTTTGTCTGCAAATGCTGAAGGCCTTGAAGTTTAAGTCAAATGAAAACAAGTTAAATTTACCCTATAACTCCTAGAAGTGATTAAAATGTAATGTCCCTTCCATCACATCCAAACATTATCCTGCAAAAAGGTTATGAGATCACACTAAAACTTATCAAGTAGAAGTTGTTTTCTTGATCAAACACAAAATTCTTGTAGAGAATCCACAAAAAATGTGTAGCAGCTAAAAGGGAGAGTTAACAATCAGATCTTGGCAATTAAGGGTTAAACTTTAATTCTGTTCACAAGATTATCCTTCAAAAGCTTGAAAGGCTATGCACCAATGCTAAATAGCATTGCTAGCCCTATCAATTGCAGGTGACCTAAAAGAATTTTCCCTTCCAATATCAATGATGAAAAGAATCAGCAAATAACAACAATAACAACAGCACAATAACAACAAGAAGATAATTCTTGGTTTAAAACCACATTCTTGAAGTCAGAATTAACAAAAGAATTGCAGACAGTGAGAACAATCTATTTATTAATGTCCTTAGTGAAAAGTGTGAATCCCACATAATCATGAAATAACTTAACAAAATACAAAAACAAATATCTTACCACAGTCCTTCATTTTTCAGATATTTGATTTGTTTGCTGTACAGAATATGAACAATCTCGGCACACACTTTGTTTCCCTCTTCTATGGGGTCCACAATAACAAAATCTCCTGGAGTAGGAAATATCGAGAACATATTTATTTTTAAATAGGCATACAACAAAAGTTGCTATGAGTACGGCATGAGACAGCATTCCTCCCTTCATTGACAATGCAACTTCATCTTTTGCACCTATTAAATATACTTTTTCAAGATACATTTTCTGAGAAAAAATAACATTAATCAAACAACAATGAAAAAGGAAAATTGGGTAGGATAATATAACAGCCTAAATTGAAAATGAGAATACATTCCTCTCTGTTGTCTTAACAGTTTTGTCTGGGATAGTTGCTCGAAATAAGCAATTAAAATCATCATCATTATTTTCTTTAAACACAGGTTAAAAACAACTGTTCTTAAGCCTCCATCCATACCTCTTTTAATCCATACACTCTTTCTGAATTTTGATGGCATACTGACAAGAAATTTTGTGCCATCAGAAGTTTCCACTTCATGAAGGTTGTTTCCGCGTCCACCTAATATCTTTCCCAGGGAAAGAAATATTGATTTATAAGTTTTACTTGTAGCAATTTTCATTTTTAGAAGTACATCTACTGGGCATCTCCATAGTATAAACAATTCAACAGAGCAGTAAAATCTAGCTCAGGAAGTTATAAAGAATAAATTGTTGGAACAAGATAGAAATATATTTTCCCTTGTCTTACGCTCTGTACTGGCCATGTGAAAAGGAAGAGATTTGCTCCTTTCACAGAAGACATAATTTGCTCATCCAACTAAGACCCCCAGAACAGAGTAACCTCATCCTAACTCCCCTCCCACCAGACCCATCTACTTTCCCATAAGAGAGGAGGGAAGGGCATGTAAGCTTTTTTTAACCCCTTCTCCTCCCTATCAAAAAACAATTGCCTTGAAACATGCTATTGGAATGTTCCATTTCTTTCTACTCTGTTATTAAAGACCACCTTCCAACAGCCATATTTCTTTCCTCTGAACCTTTGAAGTTTGCACCTAGGGGATTCCAAATTTGTTTAATCTTCATTACTCAAATCTTGACTGGTTCTGAGCCAGATAAAAAGGTGCCTTTTCAAAGACTGGGGAGGAAATGGGGAGAGGGGGGGAATACATATAAAATATGGAATGTCCAAAATTTTACACCCTTCCACCCTTACTGAGTGCAAAATTTCTTTAACTTAGGTCTGAAATTTCTTCTCTGGCTGTTCCACAGAATTAAATCAGTGAGATATCACGGAGATGTTTCTTAGCCACCACCTAACTTAAATCTTATTATATTTGCAATAAGTTATGCCTTAAATTTTTATTTAAATTTTGTTCTCTCTACGGAGCAAAGGGGGTAACAACATGTTTACTTTATAAAGATGGTAAAACTTACTCGCCCCATTTGTGCTCCTACCTTAACAATCTGTTGATTTGGGTCTGGAACAACGTAATCGTCCAGCACTTCTTTCGCAACGTGCTTTCTCTTCGTCGCCTGCGACATGATTTAACAAAACTGAGTGCGACAAAGCGTGCTTACGATGCGCTACTCGCGTCAAAAATGGGCTTCTATGCCCACTACTCAATGCTTCTGCATAATCAAAGAGCCATGGTCATCATTTTCTATCCTGCAACGAGTAAATCTGAAATATTCTTTAAAAAATATTCAGTGCACATGCATCCACGTTTGGAAGCCATTTTGTTACCTCTAGTTCCCATGACTCTCTCGGTCACGTGTAGAATTCCGACCGTCTTCTCGTTACCCAACACAGTACGAAAACCCAACGAAGACGTACACAGCTGCAAGAGCCCATTACATGACAGCTGATATTGCCAAGCCATGACCCCGTTGACCAGTCATTCTTTATCACCGGAGATTTTCGGGAGGATTGCATGGTTAGTCAAGGGGAATAGAGGGCTCCCAGCGGGGCTCCCAGCGGGGGACCTAGTCTTTGACACAAATAAATAAAAGGGGTAAGTTTCCAAAGAAACTGTGGTGCTGCGTCGGTGGGAGAGTATAACAGGGTAATTTAGTGTTATCAACTGAGTTTAAAACGTAAATTGGCCACCTTAAAGAGTTTAAAGGCTGCCGTTTCGAGCGTTAGCCCTTCGCCAATGGCTCTGACTAAGGGCTAAGGCTCGAAACGTCAGCCTTTAAACTCTTTACGGTAACCAATTTACTTAACTGATAACACTGAATTACCTGAATTAGACACAGGCCAGGTGGTTCTATTTCAGTTACACGGTGAGATCTGGGTATGAGACTAGGGGAAAGCAGGTAGATTTTTTTCGTGTAACAGCCAAATTACTCCAAGCCCTCCCCCCCCCACACACACACACCCACCCCCTCCCCTTCCTCCAAGGGATAAATAATAACCGATTCCTGAAGAAAAAAAAGCTGATTAAAAACCAAATGAGGTTCACCATCTCATGGACGACGAAAGATGGCTAATTAGGGTCCAGGGATTGCGTCTAATGACGGTGACCGCGAATGATGTCTAATGACGCTAGACGACTGTAGCGTTGCAGTTGGACGACTTCCAATAACGGCGAATGATGCCTGGTTACGGCGAACGATAAGTAGTGAATGCGAATGTTTTCTAATAGCATGTAATGGGGTCTAATGATGGAAAGTAACGCCTATGAATATATCACTTTGTTTCAGGAGAAAATACCGAGAAAAGTTAGCATGGTAACCAAAATTCTCGGTCCCATGATTCGATCGCAGGCGTTTTTTGCCTTAATTGACGATTAATATCCAGATGGCCAAGGGAAAGGGGAAGGATATAACCCACATTGACATTGGGTGTTCGAAGAATAAGACGAAGGTGCGACTTTCACAGTCGACATCGTGTGAACACAATGGAGGGAACACTATGGTGTCATGGTAGCGGGACTCCTTTGTAGGTTGGGGAGCGATTCTCCTGATTGATATTCAAATTGAAACCAGGTAAGGAACTTTTAACATCCCACCAATTTCCAAAAGCTAACGGTTCCAAAGTAACGTAAGACCTGACTCTAGATTTTCGCCTTGTGGCTAGTTTCATTCTCCATTGTAATGGAATCGAACTTAAAACATTGTTCGATATACCAGGACATATCAGGGTTTTTTTGTGATGAAGTATTAGCTTTGTTGCGATTTCAATATCCTTTTGCTACATATTCTAACGGATACGCGGAAATTAAAAAAATGAAAGCCAAATTTTTAGCAAGCATTCTTCTCTCTTCTCAAGGAAGAATAAGAACACTGATCATTTTTTGACAGGAGTGATTCTCGACTTAATTCGTCGCATTCGACGATAATTTTCGCTACACTTTGGACACTGACACCTATAATTTTGGCTTTCTTTCTCAGACACAAAGAGAGCAAAAAATTAGCATAATTGCCCACCAGTTTCACACCTTTGAAAAGTTGCTCTCCTTAAAAGTGTCTCTATCCAATTACAAGAGGCAGATCAGCAATTAACAATATTCTCTAAATTGCAGAGAAGCGATTTGCCAATGAGATTCAAATGCTAATCAAAGCAGAACCATGGGATTGACCCTTACCCCGGTTTCAGTTTTCAACGAGTCTCTTTTCAAGCTTGGTTTCCGGAAGCAAAAATCAACTTCACTTCATTAGCTTCCAGTTCGATCCCACGGCGGACGAGAGCTAAACATTCAAGGCGATTGAACACCTGAGCAAAAGATAAGTCTACAGCTGATGATACGAACATTTTGCAAGCCATTTGACGCTGCAAATATACTTCGTATTTCACTTTAAAGAGAGTGATACGACACAGTTGCAATCAAAATTAGCAGATTCAATTCGAATGATATTTCTTTTATGGCAGCTTCAATTTCTACGAATACGTCAAGTGAAGAACAAGCTGAAACTGCGTCAGTAGGTTCCTACAGTGTCCTCCTTGCTTCATGTGTGGAGATCTTGTTATGTTTGTTCGGAACTGTCGGCAACTCCCTCACCATCGTTGTGATCTGTAAGAGCAAATCACTTCAGGTTGTTTCGAACTTCCTCCTGGCATCCCTCGCCTTTGCCGATCTGTTAGTAAGCGCTGTTCTCGTACCCATGCGAGCATCACAACATATGGCCACGTATCGCGGAACAACAGTGCCTACGATGGTGATCGAAATCGCTGGGTTTATTGGTCGTGTGAATATTATTGCATCAATATCTAGCCTGGCTGCGATGAGTATCGACCGATACGTCGCCTTGTCGCACCCGATATTTTATCTGTCATCGGTGAAGTTTGCAAAGGGACAAGTTTCTTTAGCGATTGCACTGATCTGGATAGTGGCGTTAATTGTAACGTTTCTTCCTAAATTTCCAGGCGTTAGTGACAAACCCTTCCTCGCGTTCTTCGTTGGGTTTGTGCTTCTAGTCACCTTAATCATCGCGGTAACCTACTATAAGATTTTCAAGATTGCTAGCAAGGCGATCAGAGAACGTCGCACTAACAGTCGTTTCGCGAGTAAAGTTGTACGTCTTTCGTTCGTTGCGGCCCTTGAACCCAAACTCTGTCACTACGTCGATAAACAACAGACAGACAGGGATGTCCGTGTTCAGAAAGGAGAGCGCAAAGCTGCAGGTACGATCGCTTTTGTGATTGGAGCGTTCATAATTTTGGTGTACCCTCGCATAATTCTGATCCTCTACCACTTTGCCACTCCTGAGACGACTAAGAGCAAAGAAGCTCGTTTTTGGATTCGCATTTTATTGTACAGTAACTCTGTAGTGAATCCTCCTTTATACGCGTGGAGACACAACGAATTTAAGAGAAAATTTAAGAAGTTTTTTCTCAAGTGCTGGCGATGTTGTCTCTGTCAAAAGTTGAAAGTATTGAGAAAATCCTCTTCAAACAAGACGTTTTCAACGCATTCTCTCCCACGAAACGAGGCACATGCTGGAAGTGACGAAAACGAACAGAACACATATTCAGTGGAAGAGGTGAATCACAAATTGTAGAAGATTCCATGGAAGCTGTATCAATGGTCACCAAAATTTTTCACACGTTTTTTTGTTTTTAGGATAATAGCAACTTTAACAGCCTCGTCACACGGAGTGAATCAACCATTCTTAATTTTCCGGCTGTGTAAACAAGAATTCAATTCGTTATGTTTGTATGTCTCGCCTTCTGGATACTCGGCTTTGTCATGTATATTTATTTTGAAGAAAACTGCGTCATTAAGTTTAACAACTCGTCTCTAAAGGAAATACAAGCGCACGATAAACAACTTGGAAATTCACTGTCGACCACATTAACGTTTTTCAGAACCAAGTGGCTCGGTCTTCACAAACTTGGTTCTTTTCTAAAAATTCCATGTACATTGCTCTTTTTTTTTGCAAATTTTCTCATTGAATGACCTGAAATTAAAATTCAAGACCATTTAGTAGTTCTCTTTTTCTCGGGCAGATGTGATCGTGTTATATCCCAAGTAATTTCAAGAATGGAACTTGCTAGAAAGGAAGTTTGGAGGGAAGCTGGGGAGAAAATAGAAAAGAGGTGCGCGGAAAGATAAATCTTTACATAACGATGCATAGCAACGCGAGAAAATCCGGACTGTAGTTTGTTACGCCAAAAAATTATCAAAAATGCCACCAAAAGAAAGGCCTTTGTACTTTTAGGACGAGTAGGCTGCAATTACGGCGCGCCTTATTCCTTGCGACATATTTAGAATGTCTTGAGGAGTAGTCTGGAGTAATACTTTAGAGTTTTAATTAGTAGGGTATTGATGAAAATTTTGGCCGGTTTTTTGGCTTTGGGTTAATTTGTTTTACGTCTCGAATAAAAATTTGATATTTTTATGTATATTTACTGCGTCAAAAGACTGATTCCAGTCACGTGGTTAAACTCCTATTAACCTAGCATGCTCTGAACCGTATTGCAAAAATTTCTGAAATGACCGGGCTTCGGGCTGATATCCTCGCAGAACGGTCCTTTCATACAGTTTTAGAACATAGATTTCCTACTTTACACTGGCAAAGGCGATCGTGGTGACAAGCAAAGAAACAAAAATACCACATTAATTTTATTAAATAACCAAGTTCCATCTGGAGTTGTGAACTTCAAATCAGTGAGACGACTCGTCTCATTCTGACATTCTCTTTAGGAGAATCACTTTGCATCAAACTTCATCAACTTATCATTTTGGAACAGAAGTGTGCATTTCTTGACAACCTCATACCCAAGCTCTCTTTCCTACAAGGGGAATAGTTGAATTCCTTATATGGGTAATAACCTGTGACTTGTTCACAAAACTATTTGATGAACAATCTGGATTAATGTCAGCATGTGAGCAACAGCACACCTACCCCTCCCCTAACGCAACAAAAGTCAACTAATAACAATTTAGGGTTAATTTTGGGTTAGGGGAGGGGTGGGGTGCAGTTGCTCAGATACTAACATTGTAATCCAACAATTTCAAGCTAAAACTGGGATACTGTACTTATGGTAGAGAAATTCTTCTATGTACATCAAATTTGTTTCATCTCCTTTGCAACTTCCTCGATAGCCCATTCCTGGCAATTACTCAGTAAAAAGGATGAGTGGTAAATGCAGGTTGATGCAAAACAATGAGACAAAAAAAAAAGGAAGGGGATTGACAAAAGCTGAGATCATTCTTTCCTACTTTTGCCTTCCTTTTCACTTTGCATGAGCACTATTATTGCATCTTACACTAACTGAACACCTGCAAAAGCATGATTCTGATAAAAACCAAGATTTCCTCTTTTGGTAGTTTCTTTTGCAATGCACTTCAGATGATCCAAAGATATATTTCCCATTTCGCACAAGATATTTCCCAAACAACTGCATGACTAGTCACTAAGGTTTCAGTGATGGGTGTGTGTTATGTATCTGCATCTCTACCAGGAACAACCTCAATGCCCATGCCCCTGGCTGAAGCAATGACAGATCTACATACACTTCTCAATGGCACATTCTTCATTGACGAGTCCTCTTTCTTGATTTTGGCAATTTCGTAAATGTGCTTGAGGGTTACTGTGCCCACAACTTCATGGCCTACAAGGAGATATTTAATGTAATACATTCAAAAGGTCCTTTAAATCAATTTTTGTACCTCTTTGGTGTGTCAAACTCTAAACACTTTTCTCTTTTCAAAAACTATGGCACCGACAAGAGGAATTTGTTTGACATTTGGGAGCTTTGTAAGTTGGTGATCATTTCTTATAATCTCATGACCTTTACATTTGATCCAGGGATGATATTGCAAGGAGAAGTCAGAAGCCAGTCACCCTCAGGGGTTAAAGGGTTAAAGGCACTATTCTCCTTTGATAGAAATGAGTCAGACTTGGGTTAGGAAGTTTATTTGAAGGAGGTGCAACTTTATACACAACTTGAATGAATGGGTTACACTTCCCTCAAATCAACATTATCTTTATCCATTTATGATGACAATGAGGTGAAATAGCATTGATCTCTCTCCAAAATCGTTTTTTTTGGATGTCAAAACAAATTTTCGTCATACATTTCTACATAGTGAGTTGCTATGTCTGCCCAGTTGCGATTCCAGCAATCTTTGCACAAGATCACAAGGATCTGATTACTAGCAACACCTTCATTGCACTAACAGGTTGCAACTATTATTATAACCTACTGATGTTTTAAATAGTCAGAGCTACTTGCAGTGCAGGTGTCTCAAGAGTTGCAAGCTTGTGATTGTTTACCGAGCTGTCATGTTTGAATTTAACTCCCAGATAACATTTGTAACTCTCCTTACTGTCAACCATACAATTCTTATCGTGTAAGTTCAGAGAATTTGGTATTGGATCAACTTATTATTCTCAAATTGACATTTTTCTTTATTCTCATCACTTATTTGGTTGATATTGTATTGATACTGTAAGGAGAAATTCTGTCTTGGTCACTCATGGGAGTTCAAGGGTTAAGGTTAGATTAAAGTTGTTGGATTTTCTTTCTCCATCAAAATTTCTATCTCTTCCCTTCCAGACCAATTTTTTTTAGCACTAAGCTAACAATTAAGAGAATTATCTCCATGGGTTAACAGTAATTAGAGAGATTGCAAAAAAGAAGGAAGGGCCTAAAAAAATTTGGGCTTTGACATGATTCAAACCCATGCAAAAACCAAAAATATTTCTGCATTACACTGCTCCACAGGCTACATGAACAGATGAGGAAAGTAATTAAATTCGAATCTTACCTGGTTTTTGAGCCCCTTTCTCAACTCCTGCAGCTGCTTTTAGAAAATGTGAGACTGGAGGTGAAGTCATTTCAAAGCTAAATGAGTGATCACCCTACAATACAAAACACATGATCATAAACTTTTTCTTGAGGTTGATAGCTTTTCAATATTGGTTATTTATGTGAGAATATCAATGTATTGTGTCCTCTGGTTCACAAACCAATGGTCCACTGATCAATCATTCCATCAACCAATTAATCATTACAGCAGCCAATCAATCAATCAGTCAGCTTAGTTCTGAATTGTCAATAAATAAGTCAATAAGAAATCAATACATCATATCTGCAGCATTGTAGTTTAACATAAAAACCTCCACTACAGCACAGCCATTTTGCCATATCAGAACATGCAAAGTATGTGTTTATTTACAACATAAAATTTATGTATTTATAGTGCACCTAGTAGGTGAAAATAGCACTTGAAGTGTTTGACACAAGGGTAAAATTTCTTAATCCATTGACCCCTAATGTCTTACCTGCACCGTACCCTGCTTAACTGACTAGCGACTAAATAAAGGAATACTTTTTGTATTTCTGGTGATTAAAAAAAAGTTAAACTAATGGTCCTTTTAGGTTTTTTGTCTAGTTAGGATTTGGTCAAGTGGATTTACTATAACCCTGAAATAGATGCTAGAGACCAAGTTACCACTTACATTATTACAATTACATTGTTTTATTTTCTTTTCTTTTTCTCGACCATGTGTCAAATAGATTATTTTCTCTATTAAGCTGATCAAGGAATATAAAACAGCCGTTAAATAAAGTTTGGAAACTTTAAACTTGACTTGCTCCAATCGACAAATATTTATCGGTCCTCAAGGTGTGGCGGATTTCCTTTACGACCTGATCACCAGATGCGGAGTGGCAGAAATTGTGATGTCTGACCAAGGCCGAGAATTCGTTAACAGGGTTGACGGGAAGCTGCTTAAGTTGTGTGGCTCGGACCACAGGATCAGTTCGGCGTACCACCCGCGGTCCGATAGCCTTGATGACAGATTGAATCTGACGCTAACGAGAGCCCTAGTGAAGTTCGTGAACGACAACCAAGATGACTGGGATGTGCACATCAAGTCCATTCTGTTCACCCATCGAACTAGTAAAAATGACTCCACCAAATTCACACCGTTCGAGTTGATGTTTGGCCGTGCACCCGTGCTACCCATCGAGGTGGAAATCAGGTCAAAGCCCAGCGGCTCTGACTCACTTTCTGACAAAGTCGGAGATGCACCCTTTGGTTTTAATGAGAAAGTCCGTGAAATTTGCGACCAGGTGAAGGCTCAAGCAATGCTGAACACTGAAAAAACACAAGAGCGGCAAAAGAAGTCGTACGATGCAAAGCAGTAAGATTCAAGGAGGGCGACAGCGTGTTGCTGAGGAACTTACGGAACGAGACAAGAAAAGGAGGCAAACTGGAGCGTGCGTGGTCAGGTCCCTATACCATCAGCAAGGTGTTACCAAAGGGTTTCTACAAGCTCCTAAACGAAGATGGTACTGAGCTGAAAACATCATTTAACAGCTCCAGACTGAAGGTCTACTATCATCCGGTACAGTCACACCCAAACACGAACGCTTCTGCAGAGATGCCTTTGAAATCTGGTGCCGACAAAGAGGACGACAGAACTTACCAAGCATGTTAAAGTTAATCTCCTCGAAAGGATCGTAAGACAATCCCAAGCAACGGTCGCCTTGACGACAACGTTATCAATGAATCACAAAACATTTTAAAGAAGCAATTTCCAAACCTTAGTGGCTGGCAAGATACGCTGCTGTGACAAACATCCTTTTCTGCTGTTTCTGAAGGATCTGTCCAAATTCACCACACTGGAAAAAATCAGTGTGTTTGTTCAACGTCGACCAATGAACATTTGTGGGTTTACAACAGTTCATTCAGCAAGAAGCTTACGTCATCGATGGAAATACAACTGGCCGAATGTTATCAAGCCTTGGTCACGGGCAGGACTCTTGTTGTGAAACTGCTGCCTGCACAAATACAACAGGGAGGGGTGGACTGTGGCTTGTTAGCCATCGCCAATGCATACGAACTGGCAACTGGAAATGACCTGTTGGATATTTCTTTTGACCAAGGGTCGTTCGTATTTAATTATTGTGCATACTGTATGACTCGCTATAATAAATGCGGCAGAATTGGAACGAAATGGCTGTTTTTCTTTATCTTAATTGAGGAATGTTGTGCTGTCATTGAAAAGAACATCGGCAAAAAGCTTGCAAATAGAATTAGTTACCAAAGGTACCTACTAGGAAAGTTTAATTGGGGGGGTCCAAATCTGTGAAGGGGGTTCAAATCCGCTGTGACACCGGGACAAGGGTCAACCGCTTGTAATTAGACAGAGACACTTTCAAGAAGAGCAACTTTTTAAAGGTGTGAAACTGGTGGGTAATTATGCTAATGTTTTGCTCTCTTTGCGACCGAGAAAGAAAGCCAAAATTAAAGGTGTCAGTGTCCAAAGTGTAGCGAAAAGTACTTTTTAAATCTTTTTCGAATGCAACGAATTAAGTCGAGAATCACTCCTGTCAAAAAAAAAAAAAAAACAGTATCTGTCAGTATTTTTATTATTCCTTAACAAAATTGAAGAATGCTGGCTAAAAACTTGGTTTTTAATTTTCAATTTCCGAGTGCCGGTTGTTATACTTGATGATACGTGTGACTCTTCAAGAATAATAGACATTGCTTCTGGTGCAGATGTTGTTGTTCATGAAGCTCCTCTTGAGAATTAATTGATGGCTCAGTGCATAGATCATGGTCATTCAACTCCAGGTAGCTACTTCTGGCAGCAACTATATTCACTCTGTAAGAGCACCTCTCCTTGAAAAGTTTTCCCTGAAATGAGAACTGCTTGGGCAGGAAGCGAAAAAATCTGTCATGGGCTCCAACCGCAATTGGTAATTGGGGCAAATTTGTTGGGGCTAATTTTTCCCTTTGTTTCCGTTTTCTCACCTACTTGTCATCGTGTACTTTTCTTTTGCTCTTCGGTATTTTGTTAATTACGCTCCTTTGTTACGTGCTGTATGTAAATTGAGTTATCTAGTTTGTTGTCTCGCCCCTTTCTATTCTAGGGCCATGTTGACTAATTAAAAAAGCGAATTAGCATCACATTGCATAGGATTTGTCCAACAGCTTTAGCAGTAATAAAGGGGGTTAGTTTCCATAGAAACTGTGGTGCTGGGTTGGTGGGAGAGTAGAACAGGGTAATTTGGTATTATCAACTGAGTTGATGATGTAAACTGGCCACTGTAAAGAGTTTCAAAGCTGACATTTTGAGTGTTAGCCCTTTGTCAGAGCAAATGGAGACAAAGGGTTAAAGCTCGAAACGTCAGCCATGAAACGGTGGCCAATTTACGTTATCAACTCAGTTGACAACACCATATTCCCCAACTTTAGTAGTAGTTTGATATGTGAGAGGTCCCACATAACAAACTCTCCACATAAAGAATGAAATAGTTAAGGTTCTCTTTCTGTTGGACTTACAGTGCGGAGTTTTTTCCCCCTGGCTGACAGTTTGCAGGGAAAATCAAAGCTTAAAATCTGGTTCTCACACATTTTAGCCACAGATACAAGAGAATTAGTAACATTGAAGAAAATGGTACTGATGACACTGCAACCGTAAAAAAACTTCTCATGCAAGCTGAGAAGGCATTTCCACCGGGAAATGTTTTTGTTGCTTATGATTTTATGGCTCTACAAATTCCTCAGAAACGTCAATGACAAAGCAATTTTAATTCTGTTCATTTCTACATCTAATGTTGTGTTCACAAGCACTGCATCTCTCTCATTTTTTTACAGACACTTGTGCGAGACTGACACTGTTATGATGTAATTTAGCCGAAAAGAAAAATACCTTAAGCTATACAATTATCTTATGAAACCAATGAATTCATCTAACTATACTTTTGAGGTAACTTTTACAAGGGAGCAACTCCTAACCTACATAATCCACTATACACTAAATTTCAGTTACTGCTGATACGCAGTGGAAATTGCCTTCCTCTGAAACTCCTGACTTTCAGAAAAACTCAGCAGTATACCACAACTGCTCTATTTTTCAAGCAGTCAGCCTTTGCCAATAACAACTACTAACTTAGGTAGGTCACTGACTGCTTATATACTTTAATAAGGCATCAATATTAAAGTTTCTTGAAACCTTCAAAGTAACTATTCTTGAAGCATTACATAATTATTGCATCGCTCAGTGAAATGTTCAAGATAAATCCACATAGCATGACTAAGCTTTCTAGAAATTTCCAGAAACTCTCTATTCACAACTACTCTCTATAACAATGAACACTTCCTAAAATGGACCATAAGGTTGGTTCTTGCTATTTGAATTCTTCAGTTATTTTTTGAAACTTAATTCACACTAAAACAGGCACCACCTTGCTATTAGTGATGTTTGTGCATACTTGCGATAACTCTTTGACGATGAATTTGTAACTCTTCCTCACAATGTGAACAGATGTTTGAGCAAATATGTGATAAGAATTGACACAATTCTCAACTTGAGGAGGCTAATTTGATATATATCCTCTTTCAAATTCCTTTAAAAGATCAACTGCTAGAGTCAGCCTGCCTTCTAGTCGACCATTCCGTTGTATATCAGCTCCAGCTTCCCTTCATCCCCCTCTGAATCGCTGTAGCTCTTGGTTTCGTTGTTCCTCAGTAATCAATCTGTAAATACCATTGCCAATGAGACCTCCAGCAGTCCCTCCTATGGTCACACCAGCGGCTCCACTCCAAGGTCCCAGAAAGAAAGCGCCTGCCCCCAAGATGAAACCCGCTACAACCCCAATCTGAGCACCAGGATTGATATGGGCAAGGGTCACCCAAGAATAGATCACAGCATTACAGAAAAGAATCATCTCTATGACCTCGCGGAGCATGTCGATGAGGCCAACTACCGACTTAATGGCTTTGTCAGGACCCTGAAGGATGAGGCGCAAGATTTGGGATACAGGTGGCAAAGCAATCCCGGGTTGTCATCATCGGGGTTTAACAAGTAGTTGGTTATGATTAAGAAGTTTCTA